AAAAAAAAATTAATATGGAGGGTGATTCAATGATAAAGGAAAAGATACGAGAGATTGTAGGTTTAATCTCCACTATACAAGTTAGAACAGTGACTAATTGTTGTATTTATTTTAAAAATAATGTTTATATTTTCTATTGAATATTTATTAACACAATATTTTTATTTTAAAAAATCTTATCACAATTTAAATAATTGAAATTAAATTAAATTTAAATCCCGTCCAAAAAATCTAAAACTTGAATTGAAATAACATATTATTTATGTTGTGTAAAAAAAATTGAATTTTATTAATTTAAAATCAAATAATAGAATTGTATTACAATCATTTTAAATTAAAGTTTAATAAATGTTTATAACTTGGTTTATTTAAGTTTAAAATTAGATATTGAATTGTAGGAGGAAGAAAATTTTGCTATAACAAAGTTAAATGTTTACATTTATTGCTATTTAATATGGTTTAACTTTCTTCAAATTAGCAACTGAGCAGTTACATTTATTAAAAGTCAAATGAATGTTTACATTTATTGCTATTTAATATGGTTTAACTTTCTTCAAAATACCAACTGAACCGTTACAAAGTCAAATGAATGTTTACATTTAATGCTATTTAATATTTAAAGAAAGAAAAAAATTAAATATAATACTTTTGTTTTGAAAAGCCTTATCACTTTATAAATTATAATTTGAATGTATAGGTATAGATAAGAGAAGTATGTTAATGAATTTTAATTCAATAAACTTATTATTATTATTATTATTATTATTATTGTTGTTGTTTTCTTCTATAATAATTTTTAGAAAATACAATTTCTTAAAAAAATTGAAAACAATAAATAATTTTCGTATTAATTTCACATGCTAAATTAAGACTAATTTGATATAATAACAATATCAAATAAAACAAAATAAATCAATATATTTAGTTATATAACTAATCACATGTCTAAATATAAAAATTAAATTTCTCCATTACAAAAATTAGTTATAGACTCATAAGCAACAAAATAACACAACATTTTCTAGGAAATATGTATTGATTTTTTATTATATTTTTGTTATTAGAAATGCTAAATTTATTTTATTTATTATGTTAAATTTTTTAATATAAATAAAGTATTTTTGATTTAAGAAAAACACATAATTTCATTTTAATGTTATCTTCTTATGTTTGATATTTAAAGATAGATTTGAGAAAAAAAAAGAAAAAAGATGAAAGTGAAGTAATTTGGATTTACGAAAAAAGGGTGAAAATTTAAGACATATGAGATAAAAGTTTATGAAAATGGGTTAGTGATGAGGTATATTTGATATATTAATGTTTTAATTGAAGGGAAAGAAAGATGAAAATGAAGTAATATGGATATAGAAAAAGATGATGAAAAAATGGATATATTTGAAATAAAAGTTTATAAAAATGGGTTAGTGATGAAATACATTTGATAGATTAAAAAAATATATTAATTGATAAAATTAAAAGATTACTATTTTATTTTTAATCATTAAAGTATTTTAAAATAAAATATAATTTATATAAAATATATTATAATAAAATGTATATTATTATTTAAAATAAAAGTTAGAATGAATGAAATTTGTAAATTCTCAATGTTTTAAAAGTGAAAATAGTTGAACCATAGTAAGACTTAGTTATTTTAATATTAAATTGTTCAGTTATAAATGATTTTATTATAAATGAGTTTTATTATTTTAAAACGTTCTAGACTTATCTACATTCTCTCAAAGAGTTTTAATTCTTGAGTCATCTCTTCGACGATCAGGAGGTATCTAATCGATCACGACGACAAGGTGTACATTTCAAGCCGATCAATTTATGTCATAGAGCAAGTAATTTTTGACTCATTTTTCCTTTCTCGTTCTTAATATATTTTTGGAAGAAGCAAGTGTTGTTACATGTGTAATCTTGATTCTTCTACTAATTATTGGTTAATCTAAAGTCCTAAGGACTTTGTCCGCTTTTAATATGGTGTTTCGTACGTTCATCTAGAAATTTCTTGCGTTTCAAAGCCAGTGATAGGACATTCTTTAGAGTTGGGCAGTTCTTTATGAGGTAAGTGAAGCTAAAACTTGTTTCAATTATGTTTGTCGTGCTAAAATAGTATCTATGAGAATAATATGATGAATTAAATGCAATAGTGTAGTATTTTCTATGTTTAAATAATGATATTTGGTAGTTTGATGTGTGTATAATTGGAATTGTGTGAAATTGAGGTTCTATGTTGTCATGAATGTGTGTGATGAAATTGTATTGTTGTTTGAAACTAAATTTAAAGTGTTTGGGATGAGTAGTGGTCAAATTCTTGAGTTTTAAGTCTAAAAAGGGGGTTTGGATGAGTGAGGTTGAGAAAAAAAGGCTAGTTGAGAAAAAAAGGCTAGGTGAGAAAGTAACTCTTTAGGTGCTATGATGAGATAATTTGAGACTTGTTAGAGGTGTTGTTAGATTGAAACCTGTTAGGGAAACAAAGGGATAGTGCTATGTTGAAGTCATAGGGTGTTTTAGTATAAAAATGGGGGTTTTGAGTAGTGGAATTTGGTATGAGTGGTATAAACTCTTTCGGGACATTTGTGGTATGTTAATAGGCCAATTATGACTTGTTTAAGCATCTAAATCAGTAAAATTGGGGTAGGAAGTGATAGAAGTGAGTTTAGGTAGTTTAGAAAGGATCAATTTGGGTTTGGAGTGGTCAATTCAAGTTAGAGGTCTGTTTTTAGATGTTTCTCAGCGACTTAGAGTGTTTAGGAATCGTTTAAACTTGGGTAGAGGGTCACCAAATTCAAAATAGGAGAGTTTTAGAACCTGGTACAACGTTGGGTGCCCTTTTTGCGAGAGGAATTCGCCTGAGCACCCTTTTAATGGGCATTGAGCGCTACTACACTAGTTTCGGGATTTTTAGGTTTTGAAAATCTCAAATTCAAGGCTCTGAATATAATTTTGGACATTCTTTAGGTGGTTTTGGACCCTTCCGGAGCTGTTGGTGAGGGATTCAAAGTCATTCTCTTTGCCTAATGTGGGTATCAAGATGCTATGAAAAACATTGTGTTGTTTTTGTGATTTCTGATGACTTGTAAGTGTGTTTCTAGGTCTTCAACGTATTATCAGCAATCTCATGTATTGGTATACTATGTGAATGAAAATGATGCATATGAATATTCTGATGAGTAGTTTGTGAATGAAATAAATGATGTTGATGGACGTAATTCCATAATCCTCGTGGAGGGGTTACATGGTGGTACCATGTATTGTTGTTGTTGTATCAATGTATGAAGTTAATTCGGGGTTTATCCTGAAGCTCTCAATAACCTCAATCTCAAGTAGAGATGGATTGTTATGTGGTAGAGAGTAGCAGGAGATTGATGGAGAGATTGTTGGGAATCCAAGTGTGAGTCCAAGTCCCACATTGCATATAAATGAGAAAGTAGAGCAATGTATAAAGGTGAAAGACCCATTAACCCATTGCCTTAAGGTTTTGGATAAATAGTGGTGTCGATCTCTTATATAGATGGCTCAGATGTTATTGGTGTTTGTGTAACCCACAGGAAACCTTCTCCTTGATAGACCCAACAGTGGTATCAAAGTCGTATGTTTGTTTCGGTGATCGGCTTAGACGAGTATAATGATCCCTATACCGAAAGTCTTCTTGGCAAAGGGTATTCAGGTAAGCGAGTTCCGTTAAGATGAACGGTGGTTGGAAAGAGCTACTCGTGGTTGTGGTTGGTTGGGAATGCTTCCGCTGGAAGGGGAGTGTACCTATGTAGAAGGGACTCACCCTTGAAGGAGGAGATTGTTGAGAATTCAAGTGTGAGTTCAAGTCCCACATTGCATATAAAGGAGAAAGTAGAGCAATATATAAAGGTGAAAGAACCATTAACCCATTGCCTTAACGTTTTGGGTAAAGAGTGGTGTCGATCCCTTATATAGTTGACTCAGATGTTATTGGTGTTTGTGTAAGCCTAAGTCTGTGACATGTTTATGATGAATGTTTATCTTGTAGATGTAATATAATATAATGTATGATGAAATTTTCTTTGATTAAGATGAATTGTTTATCCACTAGCTTAGCTTACCCTTGCATTTGTGTTGTCTCTCTTTGTGTATGTTTTTTTCTTTTGGGATGATCACCTAAATGGTGTGAGCTTAGGGATGACATCTTTAAGGAGATTCAACGTTTAACTGAGAGAGAAAAATAATAAGATAAATAGTCTTTGGTTCGTCAAAGATAAAATCTCTTCTTCTAGTATTCTCAAATTCCTTGTAAGTTCTCGTCTATATATGTTTTATTTTAATAGTTTTATAATACTAAATTGAAATGTTACATAATTATATTAAGTTAAATCAAAATTAGTAAACTTTAAATTAAAATAGATTATTATTATATATATATATATATAATAAATTATATTTTAGTTTTTTTAGATCTCTCTTTTATGGGTAGAAAGAAAAGAAAAGTATAAATGTACATTGTTTTTCATTTTCTTTCGCCCTTGTTTTTTTGTGCTTTCAACTCTTTTTTTCATTTGTCATGTTTCATTGCAAGTTCGTGTGGTGAAACAAATATAGTTCCAGTTTAGTATGATATTTTTAATTTTTTTTAAATTATATTGGTCTTATTTATAGATACGATGATTGAGAATTTTGTTGTCAACTTCATTTTTCTTATTCATTTTTCTTTAAATATTATATTTTTGTTATTAGAGATATTAAATTTATTTTATTTATTATATTAATTTTTTAAATATAAATAAAGTACTTATTTCATATGAAAAACACATAATTTAATTTTAATGTTCTCTTTTCTTTATAGTTTAATATGATATTTATATTTTTTTAAGTCTTTTTTATAGATCTTGGAGAATTGTTTTTGTAATTTTTTTTCCTTATTTTTTTTCTGAATTTCTAAACTCATTGTGTCTAAAATGACTTATATGTTAATAACAAGGTTCACTTTCATTTTTTTTTAGGACAGAAAGTGACCACATAACCAACATTGGCACAAGGAACAACACTAGAAGGGGTTTTATCAAAGGTATAGGTATAAGCTTTAGGACAATATTTCTTAAAGATTTTAGAATATTGGTTGGGCCCACATGTCTTTGCATTTCCACATGGACTCTTGCACGCGACTACACTCTTATAGTCCATTGAACGCACCTGCAGGGCAGCAGGGCACACAGTGTTGAGGTCTTTGGTACAGCCCACAATCCCACACTTAGAATCATCTGGGCCTGTGAATGATTTTATGGTGATGGGGACGTTATAGCCGTTCACAAAACTCACATTGTAGTATTGTTGATCATCTTGTATAGCAAGACTGACAATGGTGGCTGGCGGAGCACCGCTGAGCCCGTTGCAGTAGAGGCCGTTGCCACAGTCTCCGGTGACACATTTGCCACGGCCCGCGACATCAAAATTACAGCCCAAGCGGCCCCAAATACTGCCTGACCAGATCGCGGGAAAATCAACCCACTGCTCCGTGTTAGGAGGGAGGAAAAAGCCCCCGCGGGCCACGACAGGGTATTTTGGACTGGACTGAATTCCTGGCCAGACTGGATAGGAACAATTGTTGGCTATTGTTATCCCTGCTGAAGCCCAAGGCTTGGGCACTGTTAAAAGCAAGAGACAAGATTGTAAGTTCAGTTACAATGTTAGTATAATAATAAATAAATAATAAAGTAGTAAAAATATTTTTTTATTGAAAGTATACTATTTTCATTGGATGAGTGTGTGAGGAAAATAATGAAAATTGTGAAAACTTTTGTGTGTGTTTGAATCTGTAATGAAAAATATTAAAAAGAAAATACCTGAAATTTGAAAGAGAAGAAAGAGGGCTAAGAAAACAGTGAAGAAGGATCTCAACATAATGAAGAGTTAATGTGATTGTTTTGTCTTTGCTAACTCTTCTTTGGGTGAAGAATAAATTTGTTGCTTTGGTTATATATAAAAAAAAAGAAAAAAAAATCAAAACTGATGAGAATGAAAGATAATTTTAATAAATGTATATCAACAGTTTAAATTAAAATATTAAAATATTAATATATTAAATTATTAAATGTTTGTTTGTTTTTTTTTCTTTATGATCACCCCTTTGAAATAACAGGTGTG